CAAGTCACTTCACTGCTCGACACCACTTCCTCATCTTTAAGTGGGAAAACTGCCACCATCAGCTGCTGAAGGATTAAGTGAGAGAACGCAGGCAAAACACTGGGCGTGCAGCGAGCACTTGCCGCAGGGGGTAGTAACAGTGGTTTGCACTGAAGTTGAGTGGATTGAGGATTCGATGAATCGGCTCTGGAAAGTCTGTGTGATTCTTGAGCAGGGAGTGGGCTTCCATTGACATGGGCTTTAGGAAGGTGAATCCGACTGGTCTGCAGCCTTGATGAAGGGGAGAGTCTGAAGACGGGCTCTGGCAGGAGGCTGAAGAGTCATCTTGCCTTGATTGTTTGAGACACGGAATTAGGAAGGTGCAGTGAAACCCGAGGAAGGGGAGTGTGGGTGGAGGGGAGAATCTGCAGGAGCGTCATGTAGAGCTGGTGGCTTCCTATGGAGTTGGAAAGACAAATGGGATTAGTCCAGGTGATCCCCAAAGTTTGAGTTGTAGAAGCTGGATGAGCCAGTGACAGAAAGGGGGACACCCATCCCTTAGTTGGAGGAAAGTTGAGGTAATCAAGGCCCCAAGAAGGCAGGGACTTTGCCTGTGTTCTCCTTACGTCCTCAGCACGGGAACAGTAGTACCTCACAGACAGTAGAGGCCCAGAGAGTATTGTTTAATGAATGAATGGATAGATAGATAGATAGATAGATAGATAGATAGATAGATAGATGATAGATAGGGAGATAGATAGAGAACAGTGTGCACCTACAAGTAAAATAAACTCTAAACAATAATATGCAGTCAATAGTTTTTATATTGTGAACTATAAATAACCCTTTAGTGGAAATTATACAAAGGCCTGTGTTTAATCTCTGAACAGATATCTGTTTCTCAAGGAAAAATAGAAAACAGTTCATCCAGTAGAAAGTAGTAACTTGAAACTCGAACACTGATACAAAGGGAATATTGTAATTCAGAGAACATAAAATAAACATATTTAAAGTGGGGGTGAGAGGATCTGTTCCGGTTCATATTGTTTTATCCCTTCCATCCTGGGAACAAAGAATAAAAGAAAAGGATAAAAGGAACCCCTTGCTTGCTTGTTAGAAGAAGAAAGCTTGCACTTGAAGTTCCTACCGGGCAGATGTCTGTTGAAAGCTGTGCTTATGGAAGATGCTGCCGTGTCAAACTCTGTTGGGTGATTTTAGACGAATGTGTCATGTGCGACATGGAAATGCGGTGTGCTGCACATTAGGGATTTCCCGAGTGCTCGCATCAGGCAGTGACGTGCCGCGAAAGGGCTCTTTATCTAGCCACACGGTGTGCGTGTAGAGCAGTGGGGAAATGCTTTGGGTGGAAATTACTTTAGTCAGAAAAAGAATCCATTTACAGTGTGCGCCTTCAAACATCTTTCAGACAATGCATTGTATTAAAGAGGCATTTTTTGATTAATGTTTTATAAACATTTTTCAGCATGACAGCTTAAAGTCCCTGTAAAATTGTAAATGCATGCCTAGTGTTCACTTCCATAAAGTCGGATGCCACCTCATAAAGTCTCGTTGGCTCCTGTCAGCCATGGTGACACAGAATCAGTACCTGGGTGCATTAAAATTAATTTCCTTCATTTATATTACTGCAGTGATGGCGAGATGAAAAGAGTCCTATATTTAAATTTTACTTTTAAAAGAACACTCTTGCTAGAGAGTTTTTTTTAATCATTGCGCTTTTTTACCTAGTTGGTGAATGTAATAAACATGGAGTCATAGTACAGTAACGTTATGATGGGATCTGGAAGAATTCAAACCCATCCATTCAACGCACTCCTCTTGAGCACCTACTGGGTGCTCAGAGCTGAAGAAGAAATGGTCTCAGACCCTAAGAAGCTGAGCTCAGTGAGGAAAACACACAACGATACCAAGTGCTGGGACCCTGGGCTGAGATGAACCCCGGGTTTGGTGAGCACAGAGCTAGAAACCAGCGTTGGATGCAGCTTAAGAACAAAGGGCTGAAAGATTGAGCCGGCCAAGAAGCGGGTGATGGGCATTCCAGGCAAAAGGAGCTCAAGTGCGAAGGCCCACAGGCGGGACAGGGCGTGGGAATGGCGCATGGCTGGGCTGGTGACGAAGGACGCACAGGGGCTCCTCATGGCTGAGCACAGAGGCGGGAGAGGGGAGGGGTGAGACACAGAGGGAGTGGGGGCCAGTCAGAAGGTCCTCGTCCCGCATGATAAACGCCTGCCTGACTCTACATGATCAGATTGTGCTCAACACCGGTCACTGGTGCAGAGGGGAAGATGGCGTGGACAGGACAGCCTGTCGGGAGGTGGTGTGCGAAGACCAGAACAGGCAGGAGAGACCTTCCTCCCGTGAGGTGGAGCATGGATTCGGGTCCACAGAAGGTAGAGGTCACTGTACCCTGGAAACTTCTTGAGGGTAAGGACTTGTCTCGTCTCTGTCTCTCTCTTCGGGGTGGTCCCCACAGTCGCTTAGTCCCTCATCCACATGAAGTCACAGGTGCCCCTGAAGGATAATAAGCCCACAAGGACTTCTGCCTGGAAAGCTTTCTGCACACCAGGCGCTGTTCTGCTTCGAGGGGTTGCAGTCCCCATGGCGTCTGAACTGAAGACCTCGGCGTCTCCCCTGACATGGGGAACAAGTTGCCTGCGTGGCAGTTCCGACGTCACCATGGGGAAAGCTTCCGTTGCCTCACTAGGAGAACGGTGCACGGGGTAGTGTTCGTCGCCTCCGGGTTATTGCCAGACCTAGTTCAGTTAATGTGGGAAAGCGCGGGACAGGCGGCGCATGGCATCTAGTAAGCGCTCAGTACCCGCGAACCATTTTTACCCTTAGCATTGCTATCTCTCACCTAACCCGTCACACCCAGGTGGCCTTCTGATGTCTCCGACACTAGGACACCTTGTGTGTCTTGCAGTCGGTTTCCTGTTGACTTACGGTAGCAGCAGCCGCCCGACTGTCCCCCTGGCTTCCCTCTGTGCCCAGTGACTCTGAGCCCGAGGCTTAGCCAAGAAAGGAGACCTCAGGCGTTTTAGCCCAGCAGCCACGGTCCTCAAACTTGGGGTCAGAAACCCTGCTCTGATCACCGTTAGAGGCAAATATCCCCATATTTCATGCGCTCCCTGGAGCCCCACCTTTCCTTCACCCCCATCCCCAGCTTCTCTGCATCATTCCTTTGGACCAAGTCATCTCTCCTGGAAACAGGGTAGTGTGTTCACATCGTCTCCTTTTCTCATCGGAACAACTTTCCAATGTCAGATGTGGCTTTTCAACTGAACGGATTGAGCATACTGTTTTTTAAAAGAAACCTTTGACTTTTCTATTGGCAAGAAGACAGAAATGTGCAAACCTCAACCTGTGCTTTTGAAGCTCTGAAGGATGTTGTTGGGAAGAGTCGAGTGTTTTCCGTTCACAGCAATGACATGTGAGGCTAGGAGAAAGAAAGCAGCTGTGAAAATGCATGTTTAGTAAAGGTGTGAAACTTACCAGAAGTACAAATAATTGAAAACGCAGAGCTTTCCCTCACTGGGTTATAATAAAAGGTGATTTCTGCTGAAACCGGTTTGGCTCAGTGGATAGAGCATCGGCCTGCGGACTGGAGGGTCCCAGGTTCGATTCCGGTCAGGGGCATGTACCTGGGTTGTGGGCACATCCCCAGCAGGAGATGTTCAGGAGGCAGCTGATCGATGTTTCTCTCTCATCGATGTTTCTAGCTCTCTATCTCTCTCCCTTCCTCTCTGTAAAAAATCAATAAAATATATATTTTTTTAAAAGGTGATTTCTGTGCCCTCACTGTGCATGCTTGGGCGCTGGGGTCCTTTTCAGAAGCTATTCTAAAGAAACAAGGAGAGAGCTAAGCTATTATAGTGATTCAGGTGACAGAGCTGACACACGTACACACCAGTCCTGACCACCGGGCCGTATTAAAACCATTGGTAATAACAGTTCAACTGCCAGTGTCTGGAATGTGTTATGGAAGCTTAGATACACACTATAGTCAGCTGCTTACAAAATATGCACACCGTGCCCTTGGTGCAATAGAGTGTAGACTCAGGAAGTAGTATTCATGTACCTGAACTCCATTAAAACTTTCAGTGTGGGTTTAAGCAGTCAGCCACTAGTCTTAGAGTCCGCCTGCCATACGCCATGTTGTATAGCACGCCTGAGACCCTTGGCCAAATGAGAACATGCAAAGCCTTTGTTAATGTTCATTTGGCTAAAGTACCTCCTCCTTACAGCGGTGTATACCATACATTATCTGACTATATCCTTCCAGCTCTCAAAAGTGAACTTTGGGGCTTTGAAATGGTCCCAGGAAGGCCTCTGCATTCCACGACTAAGCAAGAAAGGATCTATTTTGAACTTTGGCCTCTCTGGGATTTAGCCTTCCTGAAGCAACTCTATTCCACTCTATCTCTTCCCCCCGCCTTGGTAGACAGGCTGCTCATGCAGCAAGAGTTATTGGTGCCCTCAAATACCGAGCACCTTTTGAGCTTTCATTGGTTCCAGGTAGAGCTCAGAGCTTATGTAGTGAAAGAGGATGCACCGACTCGGTGACTCACTTGAGACCTTCCCTTTCCGGTCCTGTGAACCCCCCGGGGAATGTGGCCATGACCTATTCCAGTGATGTTGAACCTACAACACGCGTGTCAGAGGTGACACGCCCCCCACCATGTGGACGCCTGACCTCTCGCTCCCTCTCAACGACTCTGTCCAGGAACGTTAATGGACACTAATGAGTATTTGGATCAAAACACTTTTCCTAGGACCGTGCCCAAGGGTGAGGAGGGTCTTTGTTTTACTATGGTTGCAAATATCAAAAAATTTCTATATGTGACACAGCACCAGAGTTAAGTTAGGGTTTTTCAAAATGCGGACACGCCGAGCTCAAAAGTTTCGCCATCACTGACCTATTCCAAGTTCCAGTGTTAAAGGAGAAGGTCCTTAATTGACGACAGACTGAATGTGCCTTTCAATTTCCTCCCTTTGTCCGCCAGGAATCCCGATGCTGAAGATCGTGTTTGCGGGCCACGAGCACCTCTCCTTAATCTCCGTCCCTCTGCTCATCTACCACCCGGTGCAGATCCTCCTGGGCAGCGTGCTGGTGCCCACGATAAAGTCGTGGATGGTGTCGCGGCAGAAGGTGGGACTCCGGACAGATCTTACTTGGATCCGAATCAGATTGAAATGCTGTTTCTGAATGTTAGCTGTTCACACACTGCATGTTCTCGTTCTCAGGGGACGTATTTCCTTAACTAAATCCAACAATGATGCATGGATCCACTTCAGTGTGAGCAGGAGGGTTGAGGTTAAATGTTTTGTGTGGTTGTAAAAGTACAATTATACTGAAAATGCAGCTTGTAAAGCTCCTTTCCATTCGCTCATACTGAAGGCCAGGGTGCAATGGGGTGAATGTTCAGTAAATACACTCAAAGCACATGTGACCCGTGAGCCAGCCAGCAGCCGCTCTGCCCCTGCTCACTGGTGACCTGGGGCACATCACTCCTCTGCCCCTCAGTGTCTGCCACTCGAGGACTGATGCTGACATCTCCTCCTCGGAGTTGTGGGAGAGCATGTGGCGGGTGTCTGACAAAGCCAGCTGCTGTGGTTTTCTTTGCTGCCACTGTTGTCCATTAGTGTCTGCAACACTGTTTGCAGCAGCTCCGCTACCCCTGCTGTACAGGTTGGGGAATAGGCTCAGAGAGGGAGCAACTTGCCCCAGGCCATGTGGGTGCTTTAGTCCATGTTAGAGTTAGGACTTGAACCCTGGTCTCTTTGGCCCCCAAAACCTTCCCCCTGCACCATGAGGGCACTCCGGACAGAAATACACATTGCTTTCGAAGCAATGTATTTCCCAGGTCCCCAGGAACCTACCTGGAAAGATTAACGCATCCAACACCGTCGCTCATTTAGTTACTTAACAAAGTGTTAGTGAGTGCCACTCTGTGCTGGGCACGGCTCCAGGCCTGGTCCTCCCCTCAGGCTTGGTAGAGGGGCATGTTAGTACATTATTCTTTACTGTTTACCTATTTTGAAAACTTTCAGGTATACTTAATGTTTATATTTATCAATGTATGTGTGCATTATAGACCAGAATTTCTACATATAAATTTTGACAGAGAATGGAGAAAGTTATCCAAAAATCCTGATGCCCTAATAATGATACACAGCCATAGCAAACAGCAGATTAATCGGAGTGAAACTTTCTAAATATTTCAAAGCTCTGGCATTCGTTCTGCAGATAAGAAGCATTTCCAAGGGGGAGATGACATTGGACAGTGCTGTTCATCTTCCCACACTGGGGCCCCTGTCTAACTTAGAATAACCCAGAGGCTTAGGGTGTCATCCCTCCCATTTGCGCACCAAAACAAACACAAAGCACCCATCCCAAGGGTATGCACAATTGCCCTGCAGACAATACCATTGAGACCTGCAGCCAACTCCAGTGCACAGGGGACTGTGTGAGTGATGAGGCCAGGCTGGGGAGGTGACAGTCTGCGGGCCGGGGAGGTGGGCGGGTGATGTCTGTGTCACAGAGGTTTGGGTCACTGGTTACCGAGTGCTATCTGGGTGGGCCTCTTCCTTCTCAGAGCATCGATGATCTGGTGTTTTTGACACTTCCACTCGGCTCATGGATGCTGTCCAACTCTGAACTGCGTGTTCTCCTCTCTTGCAGGGAGTGAAGTTGACGAGACCAATCGTATAGCCCAGGAGGTGCCCGGCCTGCAGCGGTGTACATATGTACAGGGTTGTGCACAGTCCTGAGACTTGTACTTGTGAATGTTGCTTCAATGCATATTTTATTTTTTTACACACAGAAAATGATATAACTGTTGAAGTGCCTTAAAAATGTATTTGACAAGAGCGTTATTTCCAAAACCGACTTTGTTGGTTACTGCCAGGGGTGGTGCAGTATTTTGGAGTTGTTTAATATTTCTTTTCCTAACGCAGGGAACAGTCATTGTAAGTGACAAAAGCCCCAGCTTTGTGCATACAACTCTGTCATGGTTACTGTACTGTTCGAAAGGAGGTCGTACCATCAGAGAAATGCCCTTCCGAAGACGGGGACTACTTCCAAAGTCTTACTCACAAGTACTTTGATTTACTGTGTGATTTTCTTCTACAACTGTGACATGCCTCTTATCAACTCCACAGGAGTCATAGACTGAAAAGCATAATTTATCTGCATTCCTTGACATCGTTTTTTTTAGACATTCCTTCAAATAGTTTCCACACAGAAATTCCTCTGGGCCATGATCAGAAATTGTGATAGTATGTGTCTTAAATTTACTATAAGCTGCTTCAAAGAAAAGACCTGATGGTTGAGTTATGAGTCAATTAAGTGACATTTTGAGGAAAACTACAAGATATGGTTTTCAGGATTTTCAAAGTCATAGATGTTTCATTTTTCTTCCAATTTAATTTCTTTCCTATTTTCCAACACACTCGCAAACTCATAACAGCCAAATGTGAGACACAAAAATGTTATCAGTTTGAGAGCATCAGTGATTAATGATGGACTATATTCACATTCCTCGGCTGAGAAAAACTCTTCCTGTTACATAGATGTGCTGAGCACACATCACCCCTTTTAGCCAGAAGCAGCCTGTTACATCCTTGAATTAAGCACACTCGCGGCATTTGAGACAAGTTATAAATGAAAATTTCCTTGGCAGACTTGACAAACGATTGCGACATTTAAAAAAATTTAAATCAGATTGCTGTTATGAATAAATGGAAATATGAAGGTCATAGATGCAAACAGATGTTACAGATACACATTCTTTCTACCCAAATGGGGGGAAAAAATGGGCACAGAAAATGCAAAACCATTTATTGACCCAATTATTAAGTAAAATTCATTCCCAATTGGGCTTCAGCTTTCAAAACAGTGTTGAATGTTTGCCTCTGCGAGTGACGAGCATTCACTGGACCCAAAGAGAGAATAGAGCAATATGTAAAGCCAGGGGAACTCTCTGCTTCCCGCACACCCTCTGTGACATCCTCTCCATGGTCTTTCTTGATCTGACAGACAAGATCGGCGCCCGGGGGCACACCGGGGCCACGCTGTCCTCGGCAGCTGTCCTGTTGTTTTGTCAACAAAAGAAAAATCATTCCTTAGAAACCGATCAAGTTCATCAATCGTGTGACTTTGTATTCTTGTTACTACCAGGTCTCGTCTCCTGTGGGCTGCTTCTGACTCATTTCAACATCACTGAATTTCACAAAGTTCACAACAGTTTTCCTCAGTGTCAATTTTAAAGCCAGTGCCAGACCTTGCATAAAACTACTCTAAATGGGCTATTTGTCAAGAATTTTCATTGTTGAGACTTTTGTAATTTTGTTTGATACTTTGGATGCTTACAAATGGAGCTCAGAAAGGTTTTTGTGTTCCTGTAAACTTCTTTAAAGTTCAGAGTAAATGAAATTGAGTTACAATAAAAGCTAGCATTAGAATACTGTTTTTCCCCCCAACTTATCTACCTCTCTTGTCAAACACCTATAGTAGGTGTGTGATTATGGGATAATATTCAACGGAAAATACTATAACATCTTTTGCTTTAAAAAAAAATTTTTTTTAAATAATCTACATGGTGAATGTTGGTGGCTTTAGTGATATGTTTATGCCTATTTTTTTTGACACAAATGCTGTGGCATATTTTTCCATAAAGGAAAAACAGAATTAAAATTTATTTTTAATTCATGTTTATTGGGATTTAATTATTCATGTCTGAAAATACTTTATTATGTTTATGTACTGTCAAGCTATCTGTTCTAGGAATTTGTTTTGTCTAAGTGTATTTATGAAAGAAATAATTAGGTTATATTTATGTTTACCCATTTTTCCACCTGGATTTTTTTAATGGCTGTTATGAAATTTGATTATTTTAGTGGGTGATAATGTTCATCTCTTCATATGTTCTTTTCTAAGTTTTAAAATTTTTGTGGTTTTTTTCAAGTTCCTTCCTATTCTGTTTGAAATTAACACACCTCTGGCTAATGTTCAGTGTTTGTTTATGCTAAATACCAAATTTTTTCAAAAGGATTGGTAAAGTAATAAAGTGGATTATTTATGATGAATGGAAGATGAAAAGGATTCTATGATTAAACAAAGAAATGTTTCAGAAATCACAAGAGAACCCGTGTCTTATTTGTAGCCTGATTTCAGATGCACTCACAATGCCTTCTGAGAACCTACAGATTTCTCTTGAGTCACCAAATACTATTGCATCGTTTGTGGTGAAAGAGACACAAGCTCCACCATCTTCCCAGGTTTCCTCTCAGTACTTTCTCCACATCATAACTTTAAAGCCAGAAACAGCCCTGGCTTTTGTATCAGAAATATATGTGTTCTCTGCATCGGAGTTGAGGACCAAAAGAGAAACATACCCAACAATAGTGATAGATTTTAGGTGATCTGAATGCTTGTTACCCTTGTTATTCCTTTGAGAGAGAGAAAAGATGAGACCTTGGAATGCCTTTTCCAAACCCCATGTTTCCTTATGAGCCAGTTACTTTGTTTGGATTCAGTGCCTCCGTGTTCTTCCTGTGCTGAGCTTGGTTAGCAGTCTCTTCTCCCTGTGGGGCTGACAGAAGGGTCAGCTGCCCCACCCGGCTTTCCTGTTCCCACCAGGGCAAGGCTGGCTCCCGTGATGTGCCCTTGGAAGATGCCTCCAGTCTTCTCAAACCTTTGCATCGTCTGATTGTTACTTTAGGTTTCTGTCTCCTCCAACACAGTCTTCATCTCCATTTTCCTTCTGTGCCTGACACAGTGCCTGGCTCGGAGTAGCAGCCACAAAAATGTGTATTGATTTTCCAAATTGTGATCTTAATAGATAGGTCCTCATCTTCAAAATTTTGAGAGCTCTTATTATAGACTCCCTTTGAGTTAGTTGTTTACCTTGGCTATATACCAAAAGTGAGATCGCTGGATTATGGACATTCTATTTTTAATTTCATGAGGATCCCCCATACTGTTTTCCATAAGGACTCTTTCTGCAGTGCTAAACTGAACCCCCCAAAAAAGCCTTTAGTCAAAATCTGCTTTACGCCAAAGCTTTCCGTTTATTTGGGGGTAAATAAAAGGTTCAACATCCACCAAAAGGTGCTATAGATGAGATAGAAGAAAACATTTCAGTAAAAAGACACCAAATCATAAGTGGGGATTTTTACAGGTGATGAGAAGAATGGATGCTCTTGGAAACCTTGGAGGAGCACAGAATTCGCTCTTAAACCATTACATCCACCTATAAATTAAGATGCGCTCAGATGTGAGAGATTGCAACACAAGCAGCTGATATTCAGGGCTCCGTGGGGTACACAGGCCCACCCTGGCAATGCCGAGCTACCAGCATGCTGTTCCTCACGCTGGTGTCAGGAGGGATGCTTGGGAGGGCTCTCCCAGGATGACATGGCCGAGCCCAGCATGCTCCGCACCACGGGCCCTACTAGGTTCCTCACCCAGACTTTCCACTTGACTTGCAGCCACCCCAGGAGGAGATGTGCATTGCCGTCCCCACTGTGTAGGTGAGGAGACCAAGACCAAAGAGACAAAAATGGTTGCAGGCCTCACAGCTCCTAGGTGAGTGGAGATTTCAACTCGGATTTTCCTGACTCCAGAGCCCACACGACTAATCACTAAGCAGACCCCTCCACAACCCTAGACTTCTGGAAACTAGCCTGATTCTAAACTCTGAAATCTGCAACCAAGGTTGATAAAGGATGTTGTTCTCTCCTTATGTGGAGTGAATCAAAGCCGCCCCACCCCACCTCAGAAATTCCAGACAATTGGAGGAAGGCCAGGGTTCCTGCAGACACCAGGCCTCCGAGCCCACAGAAGGGGAAGCAGCACACGAGGATGTGGGTCCTGGCCTCAGCCCTGTTCCTGCCTCTTCCAGACGTGAAGTTTTGCAGCCGGGCCGTCTGTGCTCAACTGCGTGCTCACTGCTGAAGTCCTGGGGTCTGGGTCCACATGTGGCCCTTGGAGTCCTAGGCCGGCTTTGCCAGCGTGGCTAGAACTCAGCTGTATTTTTCCACCAGGACTTCCTGCCCCGGGCCCCCCATTACCACCTCCTGGGCGGCCATTCTGACAGTATCCCCCCTCCCCCAATACCAGCTCCCCTCCAGCAGTCCTCCAGCTCCAGCCCTAAGAATCCCCATGTGCAAGGAAGACAGCGCAAGATCGTGTGTGTATAGCTCGCTTCTCTGCTCACGAAGCCAAATTGAGAATTGAGTAGCATCATAGGTTTGTTATTGGGGTCGAATGAGAGAACCCCTAAAACTCTTTGTCACAGTGCCTGGCACTGGTAAAGCCCCGTAGCTGCGGCTACTATTGCTGTTGAGTGCGGATGGGGGCGGGGGGCGGGTAAACCGAATTGACATGAGGCCTCAGACAGGTGGAGGCCGGCATGGGGCTCTGTGCTGCCCGCCTTCTAATCTATGCAAAAGACCGATGACGAAGTCCGTTACATGTCACTAATCAAGTCAGGAAGTGACCGGGGCACCAGTCTCTACTTGGTCAGTTCATGAAGACACTGCTTTTGAACGTTAAGACGGTTGCCTCAATCCCGGCTTCCAGCCGCATGGGGAGGCGCTCCCAGCCCACCGTGGCTGCCTGGGCCCTGCCCTTGCCTGCCTTCTCCGAAGAACTCCACATGGAGATTGTGCCCAACTCCCCGCCAAGCCGGAGTCCAGCTGAGAACCGTGATGAGGCGGCTCAGGGACAGAGCTGCCGCATATGGACTCTGACTTACGGACGCCTGGCTGGCATGAGTTGTGGCTATGGGGCTGGCTCTAGAGCAGACCCTCTGTGGTCCTGTCCTCCCTCTCTGAGGGCCCGTCCTTGAGCTCTGACTGTGTCCAAGCTGAAATGTCCCCTTCCCACTTCATCCAGTGCCACCATGGCCCCGAAGGGGCTGTCTGTCCCCTTTAAGGCTCTCCCCACCCCCCATCATCCTTTTAACATTTCTAGGAATTCTGGTTTTTAAGTCTTTCTTCCCATCAGTGGTGGGAACTTTTGAGCCACACCCACAGCGTCAGTCACCTTCTGTGAACCAGCAAGGACGCCCAGATCTGTGGCCCTGAGCTCACATTTCCAATTTCATTTGGACATTCGCACCTGAGTATCCCCAAGGCCCCTCTGACCCCACATTCCCTAGAGCAGTGGTTCTCAACCTTCCTAGTGCCGCGACCCTCACGTTGTGCTGACCCCCAACCATAAAATTATTTTCATTGCTACTTCATAACTGTAATTTTGCTACTGTTATGAATCGTAATGTAAATATCTGATATGCAGGATGTATTTTCATTGTTACAAATTGAACATAATTAAAGCATGGTGATTAATCACAAAAACAATATGTAATTATATATGTGTTTTCCGATGGTCTTAGGCGACCCCTGTGAAAGGGTCGTTCGACCCCCAAAGGGGTTGCAACCCACAGGTTGAGAACCGCTGTCCTAAAGGAAAAGTCAATAACCTCTCCCTACATTCACCCTCCATAAACCAGCTGCTTCTGTTGGCATAGCAACCTTTCCAAACCTGCTTCCTATGTTGGCATAGCAACCAGGCCTAGCTTTCTCCCCCTCAGCCTTCACAGTTCACTTTTGATATTCAGTTAGCGAATTCTCTTTATTCTGTCTGCAAAACTTCTTAATTCTTGCCTTCTCCATCCCATTGCCGCTATCTGAAAAGACCTTTGTTAGTGCTCTTTTTCCCGCCAGGATTGCCTTTCTTCCATCCGGGAAGCCCTGTGCTCACATTTGTCAATCACCTGCCATGTGCTGGGTGCTCTGCTAATGCTTTCATCAGTTATCCCATTTAGTCCTGTGACAATTTTGGATGTTGGTATAATTGCTCCCATTTTACAGATGAGCAAATGGAGGCTCCAAGAGACCAAGTTCCAGGTGCCAGAACTTATAAGTGACAATGCTGGGGTCCAACCCCAGCAGGTCCAGGGGTTCCCCAAAGGTGTGGACAGAGTCGGCGAAGAAGGAATGACACGGAGGAGGAGTTCATTTGATCAGCAGCCTAGCCAGGATCTCTAGCCAGGATCTCCAGCCAAGTTCTGGTCTGGATCTCCAGCGAAGTTCTGGTTTGGATCTCCAGCCAAGCTCTGTGTCCATGTTCTCTTGGTAGGTTCTCCAGG